CCCCCCCCCCCTCAAACAAAAACAAAAAATTATTTTTAAAATCATATTTATTCTAATCTTTAATAGTTTAGTATTCTCCCAATACTACTCCAAAAATAAGGATATATTTTTTTATATATAAATATATAAAGTAGAGATGTCAGTTTGTCTGTCTTTTTCTTTGTTGGGATGTCAGATCATAACTCATGAACTATTTGCCTCAAATTTTGATGGGAAACTCGGTAGAACCACGGGAATGATCTCAGTTTAAACATTTTAAGCTGAGTGAGTTTACTTTTTTAGAAGAAGTTTATTTTCCAGAGAGAGCTGGGTTTCCAAACTATTAAAAAAAATTTGTATGGCACTTTAAAAAAAAAATTCAATAAATTTTAAACAATTAAAGAATTTTTAATTTAAAGCCATTAAAGAGACAATTATTCCGTTCCAAATATTCAATTTATTTAGCTGGTTTCGACCCTTTTCAGAAAACCAAAACACATGTGATTATCTCTCACGTACCACAAAACGTAAAGGGGGTTAGCCACAAACGTACATGACGACCTAGAACTTATTAAATACTAGCTGAAGGGCCTGGCGCTGCCCGAGGAAAAAAATTAAAACGTCCTACAGCCACCCCTGAGTATCCACAAAAAAATTCAGCCCAATCGGCCCAGTCGTTATATAGATAACATAATTGTTAAATTAAGGGCTTTGTCATAAGTGCAATTGTAATGATTTGTCTGTGTTGAGTTCACACTGTACAGTATCGTACATTCCCGTAGTAAGGCAATTAAAACACAATTTGAGACATAAGCTCAATTTGGTCTCGATGATCAGTACAAGGTTGAAACTAGTGCTTAAAGATTTGTATTCCTAAATGTAATATTGAGATTAATTATACTTGAAAAGTTACGACACATTTTTAACCATAGATTGATAAAAATACAGATAGAACACTAGATATAATATTTTTAAGATTTAGAGTTTTTGTTTACAATAACCATAAGGCAGAAGCCCAAAGGAGATACGCGCATGCTGCGTTGAATGACAGCAGCAGGAGAGTCTGTTCTAACTCCTTTAGGCTTCTGCCTCAGAATTATTATGAATGAAAAACCCGTAAATCTTGAAAAGACGACATCTAGTGTTCTATTTGTATTGATATTAATCTATGTTTTAACAGTCAAGTTTTGCCTTTGTTTAATATTATATGTTATCCCTCTGTTATATTGTAAAGTGTATACACTTGAAGATTGGAAAATCATTATTTGTGACTGAATTTAACAATAGAACTTAGTTTGTTTTTCATTTTACTAGGCTTCCTTTTCTTTAAATACGTACAATACTGTATATAACTAAAGTTAATTTAAACATATAGATTTTATATATTGTAAATAATTGAAATCAATTGAGCAAATAAACGATATAAAATTTTAAGATTGGTTTTATAAGGATATAAATTTGGGAATTTCAATGGTTTCTTTTAAAACAACTTCAGAAATTAAACAGAAATATTATGTTAATTCTCATGTAACCTTCCCCCCCCATCCCTTCCTACCCTTTTCTTTCTTTCCCATCCCTCTTCCCCTTCTTTCCTATCTCTTCCCTTAATTTCCCATCCCACTTTCTAGTCTTTCCCATCCCTCTTCCTCTTCTTTCCCATCCCTCTTCCCCTTCTTTCAAATCCCTCTTCTCCTTCTTTCCCATCCTACTTTCTAGTCTTTCCCATCCCTCTTTCCCTTCTTTCCTATCTCTTCCCTTCATTTCCCATCCCACTTTCTAGTCTTTCCTATCCCTCTTCCCCTTCTTTCCCATCCCTCTTCCCATCCCTCTTCTCCTTCTTTCCAATCCCTCTTCCCCTTCTTTCCCATCCCTCTTCCCCTTCTTTCCCATCCCTCTTCCCCTTCATTCCCATCCCTCTTCTCCTTCTTTCCCATCTCTATTCCCCTTCTTTACAATCCCTCTTCCCCTTCTTTCCCATCCCTCTTCTCCTTCTTTCCCATCTCTCTTCCCCTTCTTTCCCATCCCTCTTCCCCCCTTTCCCATCCCTCTTCCCCTTCTTTCCCATCCCTCTTCCCATTCTTTCCCATCTGGGACTCTTAAGTTGGAGGGTCTCTAGATTTTAATATATTTCCTTTAAACATTAATGTTTAATTTAACTGTTAACTATTAAGTTTAAATTTGCTTTTAATTATTTTGTATATTTTGAATGAGCACTCAGGACTGCTGAAGTAGTTTTCGAATAATTGTGGTTTTTGATTTAAATCAACCTTTGATGTTCTGGGCACGAAGTTTCAGACAAAAGTAGAATTTAACATGTTAAACATGATGAAGTGGCGGTATATCTCTTTCAAGTGGAGTCCTTACCATCCTTCCTTACTTTTGAACTCATTCACTCTCTTCTCCCTCATTCCCCTTCCTAACCCAACCCCTCTAACCACTTATAATTCTGATCTTGATCCTGATCTTGAACATGATCTTGATCCTGATTTTGATCCTGATCTTGATCCTGATCTTGATCCTGATCTTGATCCTGATCTTGATCCTGATCTTGTTCCTGATCTTGATCCTGATCTTGATCCTGATCTTGATCCTGATCTTGAAGCTGATCTTGATCCTAGCTGATCTTGATCCTGATCTTGATCCATACAATAAAAAACCGCTATCTCACCATCTATTTTGTCCTCCTCGACTTGTCTCCTAATCCTCGCGTCCTCTATATGACTGAACCTGTCCTCCCTGTTCTCTCTGTCCTCTGTCTCCGGACTAAACTCCTTCCTATGATCTCCAAGGACAAGTTCAGCTCTATCTCCAGGTTTAAGGAGTTCTATCCCAAGCTGTCTAGCTTCAGCTTCCTCCTACAACAGAGAATATATAAAACTAAACAAGGAGTTCAGAGTTCAGAACTGTTGTATGAGATAGCGCTAATCTTTAAATCTTGATTTCTTGATATAAAGGAACGAAGCTCAATGGCTGTTTCCTCAGATTTGTGAGGAATTAACTTAATCCGCCGAACAATTAGAACAAATAGTCTTCTATAAAGATTAACAATTAGTGTTATTCTAATCCCAATCTCAAGCATCCTGTCTCGCAAAAACACCTAAAATTTCTTTTTCCCTTGTCTGTAATTCTAGGATATTTATGATCGAATTCAACAAAGAATAATAAACTTTAGAAAATTAAGATATTAATAAAAGTAAAATTCACATATATTTAAAAGACCCAAAATGTAACTTTTTCTTCTTTCTTCAAATGTTTTTATACACTTATTTGTCATTAAGTTAAGTTGGAGTGAGAAAAGGAAGGGGGGGGGGTGAACACTTTTCCGCCCTCTTGCCACCCTCCGCAGGGTTTCTATTCGGCTCTAAATAATTCATTCAGAAACCTCAAATTGAATTGTTATTAATTTGATTCTTGACTTTGAGCTTTAAGATAAATACACATTACACAATAGTTGATTATAAGGAATAAACTAACAATCTCTTTATGGTGAAAAAGTGCATAAGTATGGCTGGGGTTGCAAGGTTTAGTGTATTTTATCTCAAATTTCTCTTGAATCATCCAACATAGCAGGAGCACAAGGTTTATCCTATTCTATCCTATTCATTCAGTCAAATTCAACACATTCAACACATACCAAACTCTTACATTCTTCAACTAAACAAATAGATTCTGTTTCAAACATTTCTATATAGTTCATCTATCAGCTATGTATTCTATAGGGAGAATATGTAAAGCTCTGTTTGATATTACAAGGGTAGGGCACGCACCGGTTGACCGCATTAGTTGCCTGGGCTTATTATCTGCTTATATTTGATTAATACCTGGGCTTGTTGTTGTCTTAGGTTCATTAATATCTAGAACTGTTGTCGCCTTAGTTTAATTAATACCATGGCTTGTTGTTGTCTTAGTTTAATTAAATACCTGGACTTGTTGTTGTCTTAGTTTAATTAATACCTGAGCTTGTTGTCGTCTTAGTTTGATGAAAACCTGGGCCTGTTGTTTATTAATATCTGGTCTTGTTGTCGTCATAGTTTAATTAATACCTGGGCTTGTTGTTGTCTTAGGTTCATTAATACCTGGGCTTGTTGTCGTCTTAATGCGGCCTTGTTGTTGTCTTGGTTTGGTTAAATACCTGGGGTTGTTGTCGTCTTAGTTAATTTATACCTGGACTTGTTGTTGTCTTAGTTAATTTATACCTGGACTTGTTGTTGTCTTAGTTTCATAAATACCTGGGCTTGTTGTCGTCTTAGTTTCATAAATACCTGGGCTTGTTGTCGTCTTAGTTTCATCAATATCTGGACTTTTTGTGGTCTTAGTTTTATTAATACCTGGGCTTGTTGTCGTCTTGGTTCCATCAATACCTAGAGTTGTTGTCGTCTTAGTTTCATCAATACCTGGGCTTGTTGTCGTCTTAATGCGACCTGTGCGGCCATTACTCTTTGTCGTTCTGCTATTAATGTACATTTAGCACACATACAGTCCCTCCATCTGCAGTAGCGTTTATGTCCCTGAAATTAGGACTTTAATAGCACACTTAGTATTTTTCCAAATACACTTAACAAAACTAACAATTTTTCAAAAATATAAATCGTCATAATTAAGTCTACAAAAATCACTTTTTCAGGCAGGAAGTTTTTTGTGAAACAAAATTTGAGCGTTTTAAAAATCTTTCAAAAATGTTTCTTTTTTACCTTTAAAGCAGAGACAAGACCGTGGTTTCTACAGCGAGCACATTTAGGAGTTCTTTGATATCTTTCCCCTCCTACACCTATAAAATATTATTGCTTTACAGGGTATCTCGGCTCCCCTCCAACTTCTGCAATAAATTACAGGGAGTCCCAAAAACATTGTAATCAGATTTAACAAAATTCCAGTTTTCTAAATTTTAATTTGACAAAACTGTCATAAAAATGGTTTTAAAAAGACCTTTTTTTGGATTCAAAATTGTAACAGAGCTCATAAACTATTTTACCTGCATTTCTGATCATGCCTTGGAACATGCCCTGCAGTTCCTGCCCACTGTTCATCCTGGAAACAAATTTTTTAACCTTCAAAATAAGTCATCAAAGAAATCAAAGAAAATTCGATTAGCTCCAAAAAATCTCAAAAAAACCATCGAAAAGATTTAAAGGTTAAAAAATGTATTTAAAAAAATGACGTTGCTAAAATACTTTAAAGAATTAAAATTTTAGAAACTTTTAAAATTTAAAAAATCATTGGAAGATCAAAATTTTTAGACGAAACTTCCAGGTGGAAATAAAAAAACGTAATTGCTGATATAAGTTGTGCTATATACTTATAAACAGATGGAATAAGTCAAACTCATTCTCTCCAAGGTTGGAGATTAAATAATCTCTCATTGCCAAAAATCGCAGATTTGGTGGAAAAGAGAGAGAGAGATTTCTAAATCTCTTCAAGTGAGGGGGGAAGAAATTGAACTTATGAACCATTTTAAAAGTCTTTCCGTCAATTGATTAGTCTTTCAGCTAAAATACATTTTTGGAGAAATTCATTTTTCCAACATTTCTAATTATTTATTTATTCTTAAACATTCTTTAAAAAGAATTCCACGGGAGAATTTTCTTAGAAATGAGTTAATACTTGAAAATCTTACTGGAGAATTATCGGGTTTTATACCAAGAGAGTCTTAGTAGAGAATTATTGGGTTTGGTATAAGAGAATATTACAGAAGAATTATTGGGTTTGATATAAGAGAACCTTACTGGAGTATTATTGAGTTTGATAAAAGAGAATCTCACTGGAGAATTACTGGGTTTGATACAAGAGAATCTTACTGGAGAATTATTGGGTTTGATATAAGAGAATCTCACTGGAGAATTATTGGGTTTGATATAAGAGAATCTTACTGGAGAATTATTGGGTTTGATTCAAGAGAATCTCACTGGAGAATTATTGGGTTTGGTATAAGAAAATCTAAAGCTGAAGAATTATTGGGTTTGATACAAGAGAACCTCACTGGAGAATTATTGGATTTGATATAAGAGAATCTTACTGGAGAATTATTGGGTTTGATACAAGAGAATCTCACTGGAGAATTATTGGGTTTGATACAAGAGAATCTCACTGGAGAATTATTGGGTTTGATAAAAGAGAATCTAAATCTGAAGAATAACCTGATTTGTGTCTGATTCTAGTCTCGGAAATCTGGTTTTCTAAGAGTAATTTCACCTAATTATCCTTGTTCTTCTAATTTTTTATATTTATTTGATATTTTGTCGGAGGTTTTCCTTTAGGTTAACTGCTCTCATCTTTCCATGGTGTTGGTGTAACTGGTCTATCAACTGTTCTTCCACTTTTTTTTCTTCCTGTTTTCCTGCTCTTTTTATTCCTTTCAAGTTCTGTTTTTTGTTTTAATTGTCCTGTTCTTTAGTTTTACTTCAATCAAAATTAGGGTTATAGGTTCCAGATTCTTTGCTATTTGTCGGCTGATTCCTAATATTTTTAAAAGTCTGAAAAAAATGATTTAAAAGTCATATTTACTATTATTGGATGATGATTTTTAAAAGGTTACAATAGATACCTTGTCCGTTGGGACGATTTCAAGTATTAACTTAATATCCCCCCCCATCCCTACAAATACAATATGGATTACAGTAATTGAGTCTTTGCCACAAACTCTAATTTTCTAATCCCCATATCTGTGCGACACAATGTCGTAGACCTTTGACATTTCAAAAAATGAATTCTGTTAGATAAAATGGTATATAAATCATGTGTATGATGGTAGACATTTGTTGGTAGATGTATAATGGTAGATATGTGATGGTAGATATGTGATGGTAGATATATGATGGTAGATATATGATGGTAAATATATGGTGTTAGGTATATGGTGTTAGATATACGATGCTAGATATATTATGGTAGATACATGATGGTAGATATATGATGGTAGATATATGATGGTAGATATTTGATGGTAGAAATAAGATGGTAGATATATGATGGTAGATATAAGATGGTAGATATCTGATGGTAGATATATGATGGTTCTACTAAGACTGAATCTAGAAATGCCGCCAGGTCTGTATACAGATACAGTCTCTCTCCAGTAGTCTCCATATTATGGTTACACCCCGCCCCCCCCCTCCCCCAACCATCCAGGATACAAAATGCCGCCATATCAGCGGCACTAGATAAATAAAAATCATCGATTAAAAATATATGGTTCCAAAGCTGATTACTACCACAATTAAAAGAATTAACTTTTAATCTTTTAAAATTAGCTGACGCACGATAATTGATTTGAATGATTCTTTTGTTAAGAAAATACGATATTTCAAGTTTCAATTTTTAATGAGAGAAGGCCGGATACATTTCATAATCTCTAGAGTTCACTTTTGGGAATTATTAGAATACTGAAAATAGGTTATTTTTGGAGATCAAAAATATTTTTTGCCTCATATTTTTGCTTCCGAATCGAGGATAAGCATAGATCCAAATTGGTTGCTAGAGTTCTTCTCTCGACTCTAAAATCGATGAGAATTTTGTCTATTACTTTTTAAAACTAAAGCTAAAAACAATAGTACTTTTTTAGTTCTTAAAGGTACATATATACATACCTAATGCTTTAAAGAGACTGTAAGCGTAATTTCAAGTGACCTTCCAAGCAAAGATGACAATGCCCGATTCACAACGGTACCCTTAAAAGCTTTTACTAATCAAGAATAAAATGGATATCAGTATTAGTAATTTTTAAAACTGATTATTTTAAATTGAGGTTTCCCTACAAATGTGTTGCGCCGTGCAGGAAAACACAATATTATATGATATAATAATATAATTTAATATATTATGATATAATTAAAATATATCTTAGTTTCATAAATACCTGGGCTTGTTGTCGTTTATTTTGAAAAATTTTAATTTTTTTATTTTCTGTAATATTTATAATATTATGTAAAAATTTTGATTTTTGAATTTTCTGTAATATTTTTACCTTAAGGACCCTAAAGCTTGGTGTCCTAAAAGCAAGAGAAACCCCAATTTTAGTAATATTTTCATTTTTCTATTTATTTTTAGGAAATTAGGATATTATGCGGTATTTTTATGCGTTAGACTAAAGAAATTTTGAACAGGGGCGGATACAGGGGACGCACCTCTGCCCCTCTAGTAAAAGTAAATTCAACCTAAAGTCTGACCGCGTCAACCTTGTCGCACCGGCTAGTCCTATTGAGTTGTCTGCTTTATTTATCCAATGTCCAGGCGATACAGTACATACCGGGACCGGAAAGGTTGACCCAGCTTGGAAATTCATATGTACTACGATTGCCCGTGGTGAGCTGTGAAGCTATGGCTCACCCCGTTATGAATTACAAAATAAAAATCGCTGATTTAGTGTTGTTTATTTTATATATGTTGATCGTTCATGAAAACGATACCTAGTGCCTATATATATAATCTCAGAACTCAGTGTATATATACTCGTTGAATTGGTATAATTAAAATATAATTAAACACTTTTCAACTTAAAAAAAACAGTATTTTCCACATCATTAATCAGAGAAGAATTCTAAGGTTAAAGTTGTGAAACGGCCATTTGCATACTCTAAAGTAAATTAAAAAAACGGGATAATTTGACTCTTATTTTCGCGAAAAAAACAAAGGATTTTTGACAAAAATTAATTTTTTTCGAAAATGTTCGCGAAAATATCGAAGAAATTTATCGAAAATTTAGCTGATCGAAATTTTGCGAAAGTAATTTATCGAAAATTCGTAAACCCTAAAGTAAAATTTGACAAAGTTGCAAGGTAGGCGACACTTGGCTAGTTGACCTTATGTCAGATTAACAATATGACATTTGACAAACAGTTTTTCATACATCTTTTAAGGTGTATGCTTGTGCCTTTACACATCGAAATTTTTAAATGTCCGAAAAAAAACGGTTGAAAAATAAGGCTCTGGGCTCTGGCCAAAGAGAATAGAATATATGTTAGAGTGGAATTTAGACGATCCCTCGGTATGAATTTTTTCAGTCTCTTTCAGCCTGAAAGGGAGTTCAAAGTGTACAAATCATGTAAATGTTCACAAATTATATGCAGTAGAGTACATTAACACAATATGTTCCCTACACTATCCATTTCAAATTTGAATTTTTTAAAGCTGTTAAATAAAGTTATAACGGAAAATCATCGTTTGTAAAGTGAAAGGCATAGAGGCTATGTGAAATGATCATTGGTCAATTATGAAACCAGCCTATTTCATAATTTGGTTTTCTTTTAATATTAATTTTAGATTTTCTATAAAAGGGCCTAAAAGGTTATATAGCATAAATATGTGAAGTACACCTGCAGTATGGAAACAGTACAACAAAATGGCCGTTTTACACTTTTGTCTAGTAAATTTCCCTCTAATATATATTCTATTCTCTTTGGCTCTGGCTGCTGACAACAATTACTATGCGCAAGTTACTTTTGTAGAGAACACACAATTGAGAATATTAAGATTTTGAAATTATAAACACCCTTATCTAAATCATACTACAGACAATGCTCTCAAGGGTAAGGTTGGGACTGGGAGTAAAAACTGATATCTAAATCAGGTTCTGCTAAGCTTAATTAACATAAGGGAGAAAAACAATGCGGAATTTAGCAAAAAAAATAAAGAAAAAAACTTGCGATATATAATTCTATTAAATGGCTAGATGGATATATATAATTCTATTAAATGGCTGGATGGATATATATAATTCTATTAAATGGCTAGATGGATATAAATTAGACTCTAACTAGATGGACATATATAAGATATTGAATAACTAACGGGATGGACATATAAAAGATATTGAATAACTAACTAGATGGACATATATAAGATATTGAATGCTAGATGGATATATATATAAGATTTTAAATGGCTAGATGGATACATATAAGATATTAAATGGCTAGATGGATATGTATATAAGATTTTAAATGGCTAGATGGATACATATAAGATATCAAATGGCTAGATGGATATATATATAAGATTTTAAATGGCTAGATGAATATATATATAAGATTTTAAATGGCTAGATGGATACATATAAGATTTTAAATGGCTAGATGGATATATATAATTCTATTAAATGACTAGATGGATATATATAATTCTATTAAATGGCTAGATAGATATTAATTAGATATTGAATGACTAACTAGATGGACAAATATAAGATATTAAATGACTAACTAGATGGACATATATAAGATATTGAATGCTAGATGGATAATAAGATGTTAAATTGCTAGATGGATACATATAAGATATTAAATGGCTAGATGGATATATATAAGGTATTAAATGGCTAGATGGATATATATAAGATATTGAATGACTAGATGGATAATAATATAAAAGATATTAAATGGCTAGATGGATGATAGCTATATTTAATATAGATAATATACCTTTGTTATATAACATTATTACATTCCTGAAACTCTGTAGATACTCACGAGAATACGGGAATAGGAAGAAAATTCTTGTATATGTCCTAAGAAGGGAAAGGGGGAGGGTGTATATGTCCTCAATAAGGAAAGGGGGGAGGGTGTAGATGTCCTAAGAACGGAAAGGGGGTAAATGTGAACACTTTTATCTATGAAATTATAATTGTACGTAAAATATCGCGAGATAATTAAGAAAATGGGGTCGATGAATTGAATGTTCCTTCACTTTCGATCCCATTTTTACGCACGATCTGTTTCATAGCTAGCAATTATAAACTTTATAGATGAGCTTGTTTTTTTTATTAAGATAATTTAAAGTCGTAAGATCAGCCGTGGAATATAAATGTATGTTACCTGTATGATGGTCGAATTGATAGTGTTACAACTTACAGAACTGTAGCAATAATAGAAAAATCACTTTTACCAATTGGTATAAAATAGGCAGGGATTTGTGCAATTAACCGTTTCGTTACAGTTTCTGCTATTAGGAGTTAGAGATTCCACAGGCAACGCCGGGCATTTTAACTTGTATTAATATCTGAATTTTTATTTCAGTAAACTCGAAAGTGATTTTAATGTCTAATGAGCTTTCAGATTTACACCGTGTATTTTTAACGTTAAACTGTAGATTTTTACTAATTCGTGCATTACTCTTTTTTAATACAAGAGTCTTTATAAGGTGTAGATATTATACTTTATCAATGGCTTTTATGAAACATAGTGTACTTTACCATTTTTACTCACTTCATCGTGAATTTTATAATAAACGTGGTATAAAGTAATCATCGTGCTATAATGTTAAATTAGCTATAAAGTTTTGATTGGTTCCCGGATTTTCTCCAACAAATTTAAGATTTTTCTAAAATGAATTTTTTCAATTGTAATGAAAATAAAATTGAAATCAACGTTTCAAAAAATTAACCATAATACTATTGTTTTGGCACGACGTGCTATAAAGTTTTTGGACTTAAATTTTCTCTATATCTCGAAGGCTCTCGCCTTTTTAGATTCTATTTTGTACTTCACTAAAGCTCGGGACA